CAAAATGTTTCAATTAATAATTTCTCTGTAATCAAAAACAGCATAAACGTAAAAAAACATTGCAACAGAAAGATGTGAAATCAAAGTTTAGTGCTAGAACAAGAAAATTTTGATGATTAAACTTTTATGCAAACTATTGTCATTTGTAAAGTACGCATATCTACTACAAGAAATCACATGGTCCATTGTTTTATGTTTAGCTACACGTCGACAATCAACAGATAGATTACTTGATGGTCATCTGAATCCCATCCGGCAATAACACAATGGTTTCCAAGTGCTACAGCACAGGTCACCAGATTTATCTCAAATAACACTGGACAGAAAAGATTTGGGCACGACATAACACCGTTTGTGTTCCAGAATGTAAATGTACACTTCAATTCATTGAACCTCGTTTATGCACACTCATGTAATGTAGGTAATGAGGATGTGATTGGACTGTAGCTCCATAAGGACCAGGTCATTGTTCTTTCTGTGCTACAAGAATTTATACCTTCCATCAAGCAAGAGGTGATTCACAGTGTGTAACCTTGACTGTTTAATTTTGATAAACATCAACAACGATGATCTGCTGTTACTCATTATATACTGTTAAAAAAGTGAGGAAAGTTATCATTGTCCGTTGGACACAGGGCACCCTTTTGTGAGATGTTTTTTCTACTTTAAACTGCACATCATTGGATGTGTGATAGTGCAATCATTCTCCATATCATAATCTGCAGAACTGACTTGGAGAGAAATTTGGACCACATTACACAAGCTTTGTGCACATCAATGTGTGAAATTACATGGTCATTGGACCACATTACACAAGCTTTGTGCACATCAATGTGTGGAACTACATGGTGAGAAATTTGGACCACATTACACAAGCTTTGTGCACATCAATGTGTGAAATTACATGGTCATTGGACCACATTACACAAGCTTTGTGCACATCAATGTGTGGAACTACATGGTGAGAAATTTGGACCACATTACACAAGCTTTGTGCATATCAGTGTGTGGAATTACATGGTCATTGGACCACATTACACAAGCTTTGTGCACATCAATGTGTGGAATTACATGGTCAAAGTTTTTCCATCCTTTAATACAGCCATTTGAAGATTCAATAAACCATCTAAACTTTGTCTTTTGTCTACCTTGATTTGCTCTGCTTCTAACTCTTCAGGACAAAATACAACGTTTCAAATGTGTAGAAACAAAGTGGATAAAGTCTCAACAGTCATGAAGCCACCGTCAACAATGTCCACTTGTAGCCATAAAGTGGATAAAGACCAAACAGTCATGAAGTCACCGTCAACAATGTCCACTTGTAGCCACAGAGTTGATAAATCCAACAGTCATGAAGTTACAATCAACAATGTCCACTTGTACCCATAGATTGGATAAAGTCCCAACAGTCATGGAGTCACCATCAATGATGTCCACTTGTAGCAACAGAGTGGATATAGTCCTAACAGTCATGGAGTCACCATCAATGATGTCCACTTGTAGCAACAGAGTGGATATAGTCCTAACAGTCATGAAGTCACCATCAACAATGTCCACTTGTAGCAACAGAGTGGATATAGCCCCGACAGTCATGAAGTCATCATCAACAATGTCCACTTGTAGCCACAGAGTAGATAAAATCCCAACAGCTAGTAAAATCCTTTTGTGAACATATGCAATTAACATATGGCAACACATAGGATCCATACTCCACAAACATTAAAACATGGCAAGTTATAGGATCCATATTTCCACAAACATTAACACATGTAAACACATATGATCCATACTTCCACAAGCATTAACACATGGCAACATGTAGGATCCACATTTACACAAACATTAACACCTAGGATCCATATTTTCACAAACATTAACACATGGCAACATGTAGGATCCACATTTACACAAACATTAACACCTAGGATCCATATTTCCACAAACATTAACACAAGTAAACACATATGATCCATACTTCCACAAACATTAACACATGGCAACATGTAGGATCCACATTTCCACAAACATTAACACATGGGATCCATATTTCCACAAACATTAACACATAGGATCCATATTTCCACAAACGTTAACACATATGATCTATACTTCCACAAACATTAACACATGACAACATGTAGGATCCACATTTCCACAAACATTAACACATAGGATCAATATTTCCACAAACATTAATACATAGGATCCATATTTCCACAAACATTAACACATAGGATCCATATTTCCACAAACATTAACACATAGGATCCATATTTCCACAAACATTAACACATGGGATCCATATTTCCACAAACATTAACACATGGGATCCATATTTCCATAAATGTTAACACATGGCAACATGTAGGATCCACATTTCCACAAACATTAACACATAACATCCATATTTACACAAACATTAACACATAGGATCCATATTTCCACAAACACTAACACATAACATCCATATTTACACAAACATTAACACATAGGATCCATATTTCCACAAACACTAACACATAACATCCATATTTACACAAACATTAACACATAGGATCCATAAAAAATGGAATGCCCGCTATCATCATTAGTTTAATAGACGACAGTTTCTTATGCAGTGTATACTGATGCCTTCTTTGAAACATAATGCTTTAAATTGTATTAAATTAAATTTTTTACCAACGTTTTGGACCAATCCTATTATTGTAAGACACCCTTTTCACCTAAACAATTTGTGCAGTCCAACAATTAATATCACTTTATATTATTAAGATAATAACTTCAGTCCAACAATTAATATCACTTTATATTATTAAGATGATAACTTCAGTCCAACAATTAATATCACTTTATATTATTAAGATAACAACTTCAGTCAAACAATTAATATTACTTTACATTATTAAGATAATAACTTCAGTCCAACAATTAACATCACTTTATATTATTAAGATAACAACTTCAGTCCAACAATTAATATCACTTTATATTATTAAGATAATAACTTCAGTCCAACAATTAATATTACTTTACATTATTAAGATAATAATTTCAGTCCAACAATTAATATCACTTTCCATTATTAAGATAACAACTTCAGTCCAATGTAAATGTTTATCCAAACAACAACAACCTAACTCATACCACATCTCCCTCTCTTTCTGCAGGTTCGGCTAGTTGATGTTGCTTTACTTTAGAAAGCTCCTCTTCATAGTACGCTCTGAGACGATTGACATCATCCTGGAGTTTAGCTTTGGATTCTTGTTCTCGTCTGTATTTATCCTGAAGATCTTTCACTCTGTTATCATATTCCTGTTGTAAAGAATGGATTTTGTTACATTAGTGTTCATTTCACATAAAGTTTCAATAGCTCGCCAATAACCAATACTGATATCCCATTTGCTCCATCTACAATATTTGTGTTACAAAAATAAGTTATACTCGTAGAGGTTGTGACTGTATAATTCTCTAAATCAAAGTAAATGACTGTCCTCATTTTAGCTAGTTCATACACACACACACACACACATGGATGAACAATGTATTTATTTCCTGACTTTAATGAATCAAATGTAATACTAGCTAAAAATAACACACCATCAATCGACGTATGATTACCTTTCGAAGTTGTTCAGCCAGGTTGTTTTCCTCATTTTCTATTTCTTCTTTTACTACACAACAAAAAATACTAAGCATTATAAAAACTACTATTTCATGCACATTAATCTCATCTTTAAAAATGATATTTTCTTTCCATGAATCAAAATGCAAAGCATCCTTTCAGACAAGGGAACATATCTATCATCCAACAAAATTAACTTAAATTTGAATCAATCACAAGCAATCCAACAATTTTCTTGAATATTTGATGACGATAAAAAGAAGACAAACACAAACTTAAAGAAGTATTTCATAAAGGGTAAATACAAGATCAGAGAAAAATAATCCATTTGTGTTATGTTACAAACTTTAGGCTTGAATATTCTGTAAAATATTTTTCTCAAGAATACGAACATGTAAAACATATTTAGCAAACTCAAACCATGTTTACAGTATTCTCAAAACATTTATATTTGCATAGAAAAGATCTTATCTCTTACTTGATAATCATGTGTAAATGACTGACATTAAACTGAATTATAATACTGTATGATGCAATGCACGTATAGGTAACAAAATCTGATTTTACAAAACTACTGGAAGTTATAGTGTAAGCAATAAATAGCCATAAGTTTCAAGATCACAAAATATACATTGTGCATTCGCCTCTGTATTAACCAACTTACGAGCTATCACATCAGATGGAGGCTGTCCACTGAGAAGTTCTTTTAATCGCTGAATTTCTTCTTGATATTCTCTTAACAAAGCATCTTTGGGATCTTCATTGATCTTTGGTTTATTTTTTATGCTTTTGGCCCTGTTTGCATACCTCAGTGTACTGAGAGTTTCATCGTAGTTATTGTCAGCAGGAGAGAGACAAGCCACCATTAAGGTTTTAGTATTTCCACCGAGAGAATCTTGGAGAAGCCTCGTTAGTTTTGAATCTCTGTAAGGTATGTGTTTGGACTTGCCATCTACCAATGCAGAAATAACATTTCCCAAGGCAGACAGAGATAGGTTGATCTTGGTAGCTTCCTTTAATCTCTCACCAGTAGCTCCTGTAAACAAAAAAACACATTTCTCCTAGTACAGCTCAGAAATGTAATTATTAATTAATTTTTACTACATTTATTTTTTTTTAAATACAAACAATGAAACTTCATTTTGTTTTAATATATCAGTCCAACTCTGCATAACTTTTTTAATATCCGATCAGTATATATGTGTTTATGTTTTTCACAAGCAAAAAAAAAAGTCGTATATAACCTTCGTGTTAATCCTACACGTCTGCTCTATGAGTGCCTATTGTCCACTGGATGGTGTATTTCATTACAACCTCATCTTATGTATCAAGAAATTGTATTCATTGATTTGTTCAGTCAGAAATCTCACCTGTTACTTAACCTCTGTGTTTGTCTTGGGTGATTTACACATTACTATATCTAACAACACCCTTGTTCACACATTTCAGGGTGTCTTGAGTTGTGATATGTGGGTATTTATAGATATATATATTTATATAGAAATAGCTAGGTGGGTATGTATATACTGAAGTATCTTCAGGACCCTCACAAGTCACATGTAACTCTGCGTTAGTCTTCGACACACACACTCAATCATCTAAACTGGAGCACCACGACAGTGTATTGCTCTTTGGAAGTGAACTAAGAGTGCCATCTAGTGGTTGATGATGCCTCAGTTTTTGTGTGGTATTGGAGATTTTGCTCCATGTCTCCATTCCAGCTCGGATGGGGTTCCTTCATGTTTTTTATCTCCATTCTAACTCGGATGGGATTCCTTCATGTTTTTTATCTCCATTCCAGCTCGAATGGGGTTCCTTCATGTTTTTTATCTCCATTCCAGCTCGGATGGGGTTCCTTCATGTTTTTTATCTCCATTCCAGCTCGGATGGGGTTCCTTCATGTTTTTTATCTCCATTCAGCTCGGATGGGGTTCCTTCTTGTTTTTTCTCTCCATTCCATCTCGGATGGGGTTCCTTCATGTTTTTTATCTCCATTCCAACTTGGATGGGGTTCCTTCATGTTTTTTATCTCCATTCCAGCTAGGATGGGGTTCCTTCATGTTTTTTAT